GCACCAGCCACGCCGGTGTCGCCGCCGCTGCCGCCGTCCACCGCCACCACCGGGCGGATCCCGCGCTTCTGCCGGAGCTTCTTTCGGTCGCTTTACTTTGGCGGCCCGGAGCAGGGACATTATGCCGAAGAGAAAGGTGAGGCGCCCCGGGTGTGCGGCGGGTCCTGCCCGCCCCGGGTGGGGCCGGGGGGCCGAGCGGCGGCCGGCGGGTGAAACGCGCATCAGGGGCCGGGGACAGTCGCCGTTCTCCCGCCGCCGCTCCGTGCTGGGGCTCGCGGATGGCTCCCGAGCCCGGGCATTTTGCTGCCTGTTGCAAGCCCCCTGCACCCCGCCCCGCCGCTCCCCGCCGCCTGTTTACTTTCCCGGTGCCGCGCGGGGCGGTGTCACCCCCCTCCCCGGGGGGTGAAGTCGCTATCACAACTCCAGCCCCCACCTTYCTCCTCCCCCTCCGCCGCCGGGGAGAAGCGCTGCAGCAGCTGCGGCTTCGCCCCTGGCCCCCGGGAGGCGGGAGGAGTTTCCTGCTCGCAAACTCCGGCGCCGCGGCGGGGAGGAGGCAGCCCCCACCCGGGGCGGCCGGATCCCGCCGCCGCTTCCCGCCGCGCCGGAGCGATGGCTCCGAGGTAAAAGGGAGGAGGGGAGAGGCAAGCCATGTTTAAAACAAACTACACCCTTCTCCTCGCCTCCCGCGGCAGACCCGTATGTACCAACTCCAGCGCCCATTCGGGCAGGGCCCCCGGGGGCGGGGGGCGGCGCCTCCTGAGGGAGCGCCCGCGGCCCCCGCTGAGCYTGGGGTGCCGTGCGGGGCTGAGGGGCCTCCGCCGCCCTCCGATTCCTGCTCTCCGGGCACCTCGGGGCGGGCAGCCTCCTGCTCGGGAGGCAGCCGGCTGCGAGACCGCCTTCCCCGAGGGAGAGAAACTTGGGCGGCCCTTGAGCGGCCGGGCTCGGCGGTGTGGGGGTTTTTCTGTCCCTCCCGTGCCTGCTGGCAGCGGAGMCCTGGCTGCGCGGCCGCCGGGAGCGCTCCGGCGCTGGCACAAGGCACAAGGCGGGCTGAGCATGGAGGGTGGCAGYCGGCCCCCTCCCGACCCTGCCGGGCCCCGCGGGTGGGCGGCCGAGGAGGCCCGGCTGCCCGAGATCCCCGTCGAGAACTTACTGCCTGCCGTCCGCAGGCGCTAACGGAGTGTAATGAGAGACTTGACACTCATACACGCAATGACAAAAAAAAAAAAAATGATAGCTGCAGTCCTTTAATTTTAACTAGGTCAACCAAGGCAAGGCAATTTGTGTTTTTCCCAAATGTCACCTGTGACCTCGTAATACACCATTATCTGGACTGGGACTGAAATCTATTTCAGTAAAGTTACAGGTAGATGATGTCTTCCGRGTGACTTGGTGTTTTCTTGTTGTCCTTCACTTATCCTTATGGGAGGTATCAAAATGTCAGATTGTCAAGTATGCTACCGATTTATTTAATTCATAATTGAGGGCCCGATTCCGGTTCTGAAAATGGATACAACCGTGGACGGTTGATTGCCCTTGTTAGAGTAACTGGGCTTGAAGTCAGTGAATGCTGGGCCTTTTTTCCCCGTGCTYTTCTGTCATTGCACCCTCACATGCTTCTGCGCTCTTAGTTCTGTCACTTGTCACCACAAGAAAGTTGAAAATTACCTTGTGTCCATAGGACCCTCCACAACTTTTGAAACCTTGCAACCTTCCTACCCTGTTTGCTTTGCCCTTCTGCACTCTTACACTACAGATGTTTCAGGCTGTSCTTCCTAAGTGCAGGTAGAGTTAAAGATACTCCTGTAGGTTTTTGTGGTCTGTTGTGAARTGGTTATTAAGGGAAACTATCTTTGAGTTGTAAGTCCATAAGAGCATGTCTCATTTCTAAAAGATAATTTTTAAAAAGCAATAAAAACATTGCATATGGGATCATTGCATATGGGAGTTGAATTTTAATAGCGCAATAAATTTTGTCTTGGTTAGCACTCTATAGATAAAGAGTCACATTTAAAAATTACATACAAAGTGTGGGTTTTGGGAAGCACTGGTTCAAGGAAAAACATGATTAATGGCTTTGCTTTTTGAGAATTTTTGCTTTTGTAATTTGAGTATTTTACGATAGTCATTTTTATTCCAGAATAACATCCACAGAGTGAGAAGTTATTGATGCAACTGAATAATTACACAAGCCAATATGGAGACAAAAATTTCAATATGGAGACAAAACCATCACATGCAACTGAGTCAATTCTTCTGTTTAAATTTCTAACGTGTAAAAAGGCATCTAACACTGAAAATTTTATAAGGAAATAAACATCAAAAGTCAAAATGAGAAATTTTCAGTTATAAGGATAGGTAAATAAATAATATTGCAGAAAGGGCTTAAATCCACSTGTATCTATTTTTGTATATCTGTAGTTATCTAAGCTGGCTGGTTCTTTTTTGTTTGCTTTGCTTTTCATCGCTGATGTTTTTCATCTCTGTGTAAACTCAAGTAACGTGCTACGTCCCTGGCCTTATGTTCATTATGAATATTATGAACAAAACAGTGTAAGCTGCTTCCTCTTCTCTAGAAAGCTGTGGCATTGGCTATCAGGATATCATTACTCATTGCTTGAGGGTCACAGAAAAAAAGAGAAACTTACTGTGTTGAGATTGTGTTAAATACTGTGTTAAAGCAAAATGTGGTTGAACTCTGGACTGTTCCTGTCAGTTTTCTGTGCCTTTCATCTTTTGTAATAACATGTTTTGGTGTGAACATGGCCTTTCCCAAGAAGAGTGGCATGCCAGTGTGGGATAAACCAGGATGCTTGCTGGGGTATTGATAGGAACATATGCCTTGAAATGGGTTGGGGAGTGTTGCTTTTCACCTGTTTTTGTGGAATTAACTCTTGGATCATATTGAAAAACTCCTTGACTTTGAAACAGCCCCAATAAAAATACCTCAGTGTTACCCATAAAAGGATGAAGAACTGTTCTGTACCTGATGACAAGGAGAATCGTGGTGTGGTCACATAGATGTGCATAAGCATACATCAAGACAAATTACACTTGCCTCATGAATTAGAATGTGCACCATGTCTGGGGGATGTTAGTAGGTCAAGTTGTGACTTGTCCAGTGTTGGATGGGGAGTCTGTCCTTTAGTTGGGATTGTGCTCCAAAATGACCCAACTTGTTCTTCAATATGAATATCTGAATCTATGCAACACCACTTGTTGTTTTGAAAATGCTTGGAATTGAATCAGATGTGAGGACTAAATGCAATTTGAATCATCTTTTTTTTTAATATGACATCTTTGAATATTGGTGTTGTTTCAGAGCAAATAAAAAAATATTGTGGTCTAATTAATCATTTCTATACGTTGTTTGCTGTCTCCTTTGAGTCAAAAGTGTAGTTTCTGCAGTACAGTTGATGCTGTGAAGGTATACTAGAGACCATCTGGGACAGGTTCCTTTTCCATTATGCAAATTCACTTCCTTTAAAGTCAAAGGTAATTGTTTATATTTTCAGCTGAAAACCAAACCCACTGAATATTTTGTTTATACTGCTGCTTCTTTAGCAGAAGTGAGAATGTACCACACTCAGTGGTTGTCCTATTATAGTGCATTTCATTACATGATCACGTGATGATTTTTTTTGGTGAGACCCTTATTGGTTGTTTCGCCAACCAGGTATCTAATCAATGTATTTTCTAATATTTGGGGTTAAATGCATGTTCTTAGATGTGCTAACCTAGAGCTTAAATTCTACTTACGCTTTTTTGACTGGACCTGAACCAAGTTCTCTTTGTGAAATTCTTCTGTTTTATTTCTGAAGTGTCATGAATATTCAAAGAGAAGTGTTGTTCCTCATCCACCAATATGAGAAATGAGGCACAGAAGTAAATTGTTGAGTTGTTGGAGTGGTCCCTTTATTTTGGTTTCTCAGGTTAAGATGTTTGTCATGATACTTTATTCCCCCTAATAAGCACCTCCTGCAYTTTCGAGTGGTGCATTGTTGTTACTTTGCCAAATTTGTCTTCTGGCTTTGTGCTGTGTACATAGAAACCGAGGAACTTTTAATAGTAACCAGTTCTCTAAAATTTTGTTGGGGCGGCTTGTATGTGGTCAGACAGCTAATGAAGCTGAGGTCTGCAGGTGACAGCTCTTTTTTGCTGTAGCTCTGAATGATCTTGCTGTTGCTCTTTGGTCTGTGGAATGAGGACTTGGTTTGTGCAGAGAGAAGTAGCAGGTGAGTTTGTGTTTGTGATGCAGCAGTATGAAGTATACTCAGGTGCCGTTCAGCTCCATTTCACATCCCTTTCCATATCTTGATACTTCGGCTGTGGTTCAGTCTGCATCARTGTGACTTACTATATGTAACACAGTGTTTTTTCTTCTAAGATTGTTTTCATTTTGAAGCTATTTGTCAGGAAAGATGATGTTGTGGAGACCTGCATCTTCCCAATAAATTGTTTCAACACTGRGCTTTGAAGCTCTTGGTCAATAGCAAAGCTACCCTTTTGTTTATCCTAGAACA